TCCGTTTAAGCACTTGCCGCTTTAATTCCTCCCAATATTTCTGTTTTCTGGGTGACATAACTTGAAACTAACAGAATAATTTAATTGGGTCAAATTGTCCACACATACTGAACATATCCTTCGCTTTTTTGTGGAGGGGGTCGGGGGGTGGGCTTTCCACATTTCCGTGTTAACCGGATGTTTCTTTTTCTAAAGCACACATAAAACCACCGTGTGGAGACTCGGTAATATTGAGTCTGATCATAGGCTATTCGGATCAATCAGATAGTCTGATCATTAAACTTCGTCCTGCAGCGTGATGTATTATAATGATAATTTTATTCATCACGCCGGGGATACATGTATCTGAAGACAGGCCTAATTAATAATCTGGACCCCCAGTTAATAATATAGTTTCGGGGAAAAACTTGTATATTTATTGAAATATCATTATAAGTTATATGGTACTGTTATAAATTTTATCACAGATATACATACTAAACTCCATGATTTTATTTAACTCCATGATTTTATTTATTTATACTTTTTTAAAGATATGAAATATTGCAGTTTTGATACTTTGGCTTTATTTAAATCATTTGAGTACTGAGCAGAGGAGAATGACAAATTGCGTCCCTTGAGTACTCAAAGGAAGAAGTTGTCTGTCAAAAGTATACATTTGGGTATTTAATTTTAATCAATAAATACATTTTTGCACATTTTTGTAAATGCATTGACTGATGGGAGAAACGTTTATATATTTAACTTCAGTTCGCTTTTAATTACAGTTTGTGTCAACCTTACACTCTGACTGAATGTGTACAAGACAATGTCACAATTTTAATTTTTATCACTGTATTCTCACTAACCTGCTAACAGTAACATTTAAATATTACGTAATGTCAGGGCACGGACAGTACCTGTTCTAGCAGGAGGGTTAATTTTGACGTCGCTGCACACACATGTCAAAGTATTATACTTATGATGTTAGAGAAGAAAATGAAATGGCTTGTAGTGAGTTATTTATAGGACTTTTTTCAAAGGCAGGGAAATGGGTTCTTGAATCTAGATATGTCCTAAGGCTTTAATTCTAAGTTAACAAGTCCTTTTGAAGGTGATGTACTGAAAATGATCTGTAAATTAATTTTATCTGAAAAAGTGAGGGAATAATTATGGTTTGACAAAACAAAACCATTACTCAAGTTAAAAAGCCCCTTTGATGTGGTGATGTACTGGTGTTTGAATACAGACATATATTAAGCAAAATTTGCTCTATTTATCATTCTAATAATATGTTGAACTTGACTGATATTTTGTGATAAAAGAAAAAACAGTAATTCATCAGATATTTGTAACTTTAGGGAAATTAAGTGTGGAAATTAAGTGTATCCCGCTGTAACATTGTGTGACCCCTGTATCCCTTATGTGTCCTGTTTGAGGGGGCAAAAGAAAATTATGGTTTTGTGCCAATAATGCTTGAATCTCCCCTTAAATTTGGGGAAAATTACATGTTGTTTTGCAAAAGTGGAAGAAGAAAACTTAATGTTAACTTAACCATATATCATTACATGCCATAATTTTTAGACTCATTTCCGGGACACTTTTCATTTGGAGGTGGGGCATTGATCAGCAAACGTATTTTTTTTAAATTTATATAGTGGCATACAACCTATATTACCGGTATTACAACTTGCAAATTTAATGACATCATAAACAAAAGACAGAATGTCAATAATTATTAACAGTTTTCCTATCTTTTTTTATGTATTTAGGCATCGTTAATTCAATCTGTCACAGAATAGATTAAAGCTATGTTAATTAATGACAATTAGCCATGTTGTTTACCCACAGGAACCTGAAATTCTATCCAAAACAAAAAAAATAACGACTTAAAAAAAATCCCATACATATACTATTAAAAATATATAGTATATGTATGGGATTTTTTTTTTAAGTCGTTATTTTTTGTTTTGGATAGAATTTCAGGTTCCTGTGGTTTACCTGAAACATTCGCTGAATCTTGTAGATTTTACACCTCATATTTAGCGGTAATTTTCACGGTGTTTGACCACTAATAACTATCTGCAGGCGGATTAAATTTATACTGGCCAGTTGTTAATTACAGTGTATGACACCTTCACTCAGGAAGCCACAGGGGGTAAACAATTAATCTTTTAATTGATCAAAATTATTGCCAATAATTGTTTGTTGGAAGGAGCATGTAGATATACCAATCAAAGGATTAGTGTCACCATTGTAATGCTGTTAGGGGATAATCGTTTGTTATTGGCGTTCTAGTCTAGTTTATAAAAACTTGACAATAAAATTATATAAAAATGTAAAATTTCTTACTTCAAAGTAGATTATTTTAGATTTTTTTTACCAGGACATAAATCATCTCCGGGACAGACACCTTATTTCCGGGAAGTTATGGCATGTATGACTTAACTTTTGGGCAAACTTCTATGATAATAGAAGAATTTTCAGAGGGAAAGAGGCCTGATAATGTATATTTACAAGCATAATTATCTACTAAAAGTAAGGGGCTCTTTTCTTAGATTAAATTTGCTTAAACCCCTGTCTTACTAGGGCAGCGTTCTCATGGCGTCCAAAGAAATTTTACAAGGCCGAGGTGAGCTCAGTAAAATCACACACAGTCGCATTGCAAAGAACACAGACCAACGACTCAACGCCTTCACTTTGCATTCTGATAAGAGCGCAGTGAGATCGCAGTACATGGTAGCAACTCAGGAGCATCTCCTGCAAAGCAACAGGAGCACCGTGAAAGCGCACGGTGAATGAACCATGGTTATCCGTGATTGTGAGGCATCTCTACTGCGCTTATACTGCATGTGCACAGCCGTTTTCAGAAGCTTAATGATTTCAGCTCAGTGTGAGTGGCGTGGAAGCGCAAAGAACGCAGTAGAAGTGCAGGCCAAAGCAGATAATCGCCAATTAAAATGCCATAAGAATGCATTACAATGCTGTGGAAGCTCTGTTGGAACGCAATGATAGCCATGAAGTCTCCATGTCATCAAAAATATAAGATTTTTACTTGCGATCTCGCAATGCTTTGTTAAATTTAACAACCCGGTAAAAGCGCAATCTGGTGTGACAGGGCTTTTAGTTGATCCGTGCTTGTACATTTTATGCTGCATTAGGAACACTTAATAGTGTATAAAACCAGAGCTACAGATAAGCAGCATATCTGCGTAATTACCCAATAATTTTGACCAATTTACCCGATTAAAATTAAATCTTAGCGTAATGAAAAAGCAAATCAAAGGCTCAGTACCCAATTTGTTTTAATTCTGTAGCGTATTTCCAATATCTCACCTGGTGAAAACAGCCAAACAAATCTGAAAACTGCCTGTTTCCCTTTCTGTATTTTTGTTTTCCATTTGTTTACTGATAAATATCGATTTTTTCATGGAAAAGCTTATACTTTGAAGAGATAATTGCATATGGCCTAACCGCCTCCGTGGTCGAGGGGTTAGAGTCGATGACTTCTAATCCAGTTACTTTCTGGGGTGGGTTCGATCCCCGGAAGATGCTTTGGTAGTTTAGCACGGAGGAAGGTAGTCTAGTACGGTGTTACTCTCCAGGAACGATGGTTAGGAAACTACCCGCCTATATGACTGAAGTACTGTTGGGGAAAAGGCGTAAAATGAAACAAACAAAAAAAACAAACAAAAGCATCGTGGCCCAGACTGAGATCAAACTCAATTTTCTTTCTGCATGTTGTGAGAATTTTTTTTAGCTAAAACATTTTCTGGTTAAGGTAAATTTTACAATGATACCCAATTTTGTTTCTTTGTTACCCAATTGCGTGTCATGTCCAGCAGTAAATACCCAATTAACTCAAAAGCTTATCTGTAGCTCTGATAAAACTATTGGTTGATTGTAAAATTATTGAACAATTCAATATTGTTTATATTGTGATGAAACTGGTCAGAGATTACTTAGGCAAGCTTGAAAGGAATTTATCAGTGTATTGTATTGAGTGTGAAGTGAGAAGTGGGTAAAATCGTCGCCAATTTACTGAAACACCGGTAGCAGTTGTAAATCGTGTTCTGTATAAACAATTTATTTTGTTTATGTACAATATTCAAATATATTGAATAACATAGACATTCTATGTTACAGGAAACGTTATCTGTCAAGAAATGACCATAAATTTAAAAAGCAATATCATTATAATAATTATACTGTTTTTAAATTTGTAAAAATATTTCATCAGATATAGCTCCCTCCTGGACCCTCCCCAGTGACAGAAAATTAAAATTTTCCAGTGGAAATCCTGGCTTTATACATATTGAAGACTTGTGATAAAATAAAAGTTTAAAAAGTAAAAAAAATTCACTTTTTATTTTAATAGATGTATTTTTATCACATTAGCACATCTAATAATAATGGGTAAAAATTGCTCTAATATTTAATATAGGTGACACATTCTATATTTAGCTCACCTGTCACAAAGTGATATGGTGAGCTTTTGTGATCGCTTTTCGTCCGGCGTCCGGCCGTCATCTGTCCGGCGACCGTTCGTCCGTCCGTAAACTTTTACTTTAAACGACATCTCCTCATAAACCACTTAGCCAATTTCATCCAAACTTCACAGGAATGTTCCTTTGGTAGTCAACTTTAAAAAGTGTTCAAAGAATTTAATTCCAAGCAGAACTCTGGTTGCCATGGCAACCGAAAGAAAAAACTTTAAATATCTTCTTTTAGAAAACTGCAAGAGCTAGAGCTCAAATGTTCGGCATGAAACCTCACCTAGTCAGTGTCTACCAAGTTTGTTCAAATAAATGCCCCGGGGGGGGGGGGGTCATTGATTTTCCTTATTTGTATATAGTTAAAACTTAAAAAATCTTCTTTTAAAAACCCCAAATAGCTAGAGCATGAAACATCTTCTAGTGGGTGTCTACCAAGTTTGTTCAGATAAATGCCCTGGGGTAAAAATTGGCCCGCCCGGGGGGGGGGGGGTCTTTGATTTTTTCCTTATTTGTATATAGTAAAAACTTAAAAGATCTTCTTTTAAAAACCCCAAACAGCTAGAGCTTAAATATTAAGCAGGAAACATCTTCAAGTGGGTGTTTACCAAGTTTGTTCAAATAAATGCCATGGGGTCAAAATTGGCCCCGCCCCGGGGGGTCATTGATTTTCCTTATTTGTATATAGTAAAAACTAAGTATTTTCTTTTAGAAAACCGCAAGAGCTAGAGCCTAAATATTTGGCATGAAACATCACCTAGTCAGTGTCTACCAAGTATGTTCAAATCAATGCCCTGGGGTCAAAATTGGCCCTGCCCTGTGGGGTCATTGTTTTTTCCTATATGTATATAGTAAAAACTTAAAAAAACTTCTTATAAAAACCCCAAAGAGTTAGAGCTTAGATATATATCATGAAACATCTTCTAATGGATGTCTACCAAGTTTGTTCAAATAAAAGTCCCTGGTTTAAAATTGGCATTGGCCCAGGGGCCTATATACAGGTGAGCGATTTCAGGGCCATCATGGCCCTCTTGTTATATTATAATATATTTTAATGTGTCAAAATTTATACTTACAGAGAGATGGAGGTAGGATGATGAACAATTAGTTACTGACATAAAAGGGTAGAGAGGAAAGGTAGAGAAGATGGAGAAGGATACAGGAGTTACTCCCCCTTTTAGTCATACATCATCAGTTACTTCCCTTCCCACTAAGGAAATAGAGACAACAGGTAACAGATGTTTATGATTTTATCTGTTCAACTTGAAACAATGTTAAACAAGTATATTTGTGTTTCAAGGTCTTTTAGGAATTTCAATGATACGTCATTTGAGGTATGGGCCTTGTACAACTAACTTTTACGCCCACAGATAAAAGTATCGGGAGCATATTCTGATGGGTTGGTCAGTCTGTACGTACTAGTTGGTATGTCACCTCTTCCTTGTCCAAATAATAACTTGAGAAGAAATAAGCAGTGGCTTATGTAACTTGATAGAGGCATAGCCCATGGCCAAAAGATGGCTTAAAGATTTAGAGGTCACTGTGGACTTGTCCTCTAAAAGCTTATCTGACCCGATTACTATAGAACCCTTTGACCTACAGTTCAAACATTTGATGTGGAGATTGGTCTATTGATCAATTTGTTTGAGTAATAAGGTAATTGAATTTAACTGATTTATTGAACAGTAACTTTTTTTAAAGCCTTAACGGCACATTATGCCTCAGAAATCCATGTTTATCAAATTCTTAAGAAATGTCAAACATGTGTTTAATACTGTTTTCATAATAGATTTAGAGCATGTTAGATGTTTAACGCTTAATGTCTATGATTTACCATTATAAGTTTGCCATAGGGCATATATTGGCTCACCTAAAGCGAGCTTTTGTAAAACAGTTATTGAGGGTCACCAACAATCTTGTTGTTTCATTTATACTAATATTTCAATATGTGTGAAAATAAACAATATAGTGCATTGTCATACATGTAAAGATTTGTTGGGTAGCATGTGGCAATTGTTCATCTAGTATATAAAACAAATATATTCAGTTTTTAAAAATATAGAACAAATTCCTTGAAGACATGAAGACATGCAAGGAAATATATAAATATATCACAGTTAATGGTATACAGTCCTTAATTACAAATAAACACTAGGTTTGTGAATACCATAATACTGAATAGGTTATTTGGGTTATGAATTGTTTGTTTGTTTGATTTGGTTTTACGTCACATCAACACTGTATAGGTCATATCGCGACATTCCAGCTTTACTGGTGGAGGAAGACCTCAGGTGCCCTTCCGTGCATTATTTCAGGCACGAACGGGGCACCTGAGTAGAACCACTGACGTTTCGTAAGCTAGCTGGATAGCTTCCACACATGAAAGAGTGCAAAGTCCCTGTAGGGATTCGAACCCACAGCGGTGAAGGGCAAATAGTTTGAAGTCAACGACCTTAACCACTCGGCCAACAACGCCCCACACAGGTTATGAATTGTTCAGAACATATTTGAATTGACAAGGTAATAATAATGCAAATATAAGCAAAAAATTAAATCATAAGATTAGAAGTGATCATACTTGTATTATTATGTTGTTTCATTTTTCAAAATAACAGATATAGGCAATGTTTTTGCCGATAGTGGTTTGTAGATTTGTGTTAATTCAAAAAAAATCTACAAATCTAGATTATAGTACATATAAAGCATACACAAGAGCTTAATATAGTGATGATGAAAATTATTATCATTGAAATCAGAATACAACGTCTGCTGTAAAAATTTCTTTAACCCTTAACCTGCTGTAATTGATTTGCCCAGTGTTGTATTTGGAACAGTCCATATATACAGTGCCCATCAAAAGTCTGGAGACAAGTCAATAAAAATAAGTATTCTTGGAAAATGCCCAATTTAATTCATTCTGAATGTATAATGATACATAATTATTCACTCATGTCACATATGATCACATAGAACAATGCACAACTTAGATTAAAAATATAAATGCCAAATTTTGTCTCATTTACCTAATAGCACAAAAACCAACTAAAAGCAGTACAGAAAAGATCACACAGTAAGTGCTTAGTGTGTCCGCCTCAAGCTGCCAAAATGGCTTGAATTCTTCTAGGTATACTCTTAACTAATGTTCTACATCTATTAACTGTCAAGTCATACCAGGAGTCACAAACATTAAAAGTTCTCTCAGATTACCATGATGCTTGTTCCCGAGCTTCATTTTGATGTCATGCCACACGTTTTCGATAGGGTTTAGGTCTGGAGACTGGTGGCCAGTTCACCAAGCACCTAATGCTGTTCTAGGAGTGCCATTCTTTCACTATCTTGGCCCGGTGGCTTGGAACACCATCATCTTGGTACCAGAACTCACTTCCATACCCTAGCAGATGAGGCGATGGTATGGCACAATTGCTCAAAATGTCAATGTAACCTTGGGGAATTCAAGATTCCATGCACGACATTCAGAACACCAGGTCCCTGGTAGCTCATGGCACCCCATACCATGATTTCACCATCTTTAAATGTCACTATTGACACAACACATTTGTCCAAAAGAGCTTCACTTGGACGTTGTCTGGCCCATGTTGACCTTGCTCTCATCGGTGAACAAAACAGGACCAATCCATCCATGTCCAGCCAGAATGTGCTCTAGCAAGAGCCAAATGCTTCCCTCTATGATCATTGGTCAGTAGTGACTTCTTAATGGCTTGATGACTCTCTAATCCAACTTGCTGAAGTCTGCGACAAACTATGGAATGTGAAGCATTAACTCCTGTCAATTCCCATGACCTCTTGAGCAATGGAACAATGAGTCTCCTGCCTTGTAAAGATTTCCTGACAATCAAGGAATGGTCTCTTAGTGTAGAGACCTTTGGGCGGCCCAATCTACATCGATCATGGTGACTTCAAATAGCTTCAAATCGATTCCCGGGTCTTGTGAACAGTGGATCTGGAAGACGGAACAAGAAGTTAAGCACAAAAGAGACATCCAAAGCTGATATTGTTCTTGCAAATGAATTTGAAAGTATTCAGCAAGTGAATAAATGATAATTTTAAGTAACCAACCTTCCTATTCCAAGAATGTTGGCAATTTCTGAAGCAGCCACTCCTTGACTTCTCAGGGTTCCCAGTGCACTCTGTCTTTATACAGAACCATTGTATTATAGTGGAACAGTGACTAGACTGACCATGGAAGTTATGTTGATATTTGGAAAGACATTTTTTATGGATTATCAAAGGTTTTTGAAGTGATAGAGAACACTACTTAATTATCAGTTTTCTCTAAAAATATGTAAAACTGTAAGTTTGTCATATAAATATGAAGATCTTATGACTTTCTTAACATTTTTTATGCAAAAAGATAATAAATGTAGGTAATGCTACATTTCAAACAATAAAAATGCATTTTCTTGACAGATTTTGCCAAGTTTACCCAAAAATCAGTGAAATATTTTGGTCTCCAGACTTTTGATGGGCACTGTAGTTTAAGGGATTTCAGTATTAAACTAGAAATGTGTCATCATGCCACGGATGCCCCCGCATGCAGCCAAAATTTCAAATGTTATAATATTTAGTTCCAAATTTGTTTGCACAAATTATTTTTTTCATTCTATGTTCAAAGCCCTTAAAACTTTTCAATGTTAACACAAACCATGTTTATACAATGTTCAAGGCACTGAAATTATTCAGTCTTAACCTTTTGAAAATAGCATATTGCATATTTGTAGCCAAAATAATGGCTATATACATTTCCACAAAAGTATGAGTGCTGAAACTGAAAGTTCAAAATTTTTCCAACATTCAGGAAAGATAAGTTTGTCCAAAATCATTGAACAACGACCAAATTCCAACTTAAACTGCTTATTCCTAAGATGTATCTATATTATTTTCAAAGTGAAAGGGACATAACTCTGCCAAAAAATCATCGAACCATGACCAAATTCCAACTTGACCTGCGCATTCCTTTGTCATATCCATATGTCAATTTTGAGTTGAATATGTAACACTGTTGGGTTGATAATGAACAGAAACTGTAAATTTCATATCATTTTCAAAGTGAAAGGGGCATTACTCTGCCAAAAATCATTGAACCATGACCAAATTCGAACTTGGCCTGCGCATTCCAAAAATATATCCATATGTCAAATTTGAGTTGAATGTGTAATACTGTTGGGGAGATAATAAACAGAAACTGAAAATTTCATATTATTTTTAAAGTGAAAGGGGCATAACTCTGCCAAAAATCATCGAACCATGACCAAATTTGAACTTGACTTGCGCATTCCTTTGACATATCCATATGTCAAATTTGAGTTGAATGTGTAATACTGTTGGGGAGATAATAAACAGAAACTGAAAATTTCATATTATTTTCAAAGTAAAAGGGGCATAACTCTGCCAAAAATCATCAAACCATGACCAAATTCGACCTTGACCTGTATTTTCTCATGACATATCCATATGTCAAGTTTGAGTTGAATGTGTTGTACCATTGGGGAGATAATGAACGGAAACTGAAAATTTCATATTATTTTCAAAGTGAAAGGGGCATAACTCTGCCAAAAATCATCAAACCATGACCAAATTTGAACTTGACCTGCGCATTCCTTTGACATATCTATATGTCAAGTTTGAGTTGAATGTGTTGTACCATTGGGGAGATAATGAACGGAAACTGAAAATTTCATATTATTTTCAAAGTAAAAGGGGCATAACTCTGCCAAAAATCATCGAACCATGACCAAATTCAAACTTGACCTGTATTTTCTCATGACATATCCATATGTCAAGTTTGAGTTGAATGTGTTGTACCGTTGGGGAGATAATGAATGGAAACTGAAAATTTCATATTATTTTCAAAGTAAAAGGGGCATAACTCTGCCAAAAATCATCGAACCATGACCAATTTCAAACTTGACCTGTATTTTCTCATGACATATCTATATGTCAAATTTGAGTTCAATATGTACAACGGTTATTAAGATAATGAACGGAAACTGATGATGACGGAAGGACGGAAGGACGGAATGACGGAATTACGGAATGACGGAATGACGGAACAGGGTAACACTATATGCCCTTGCCATTATATGGCGGGGGCATAAATACAAAAAATTGAGCTACCAACAGACAGTATATAGCCTCTGTCCTGTTCCTGCAAGTTAATCTGTGTCTGCTCTAGCAGGTTATTCTGTGTCTGTTCCTGCAAGTTAATCTGTGTCTGTTCTGGCAGGTTACTCTGTGTCCGTTCTGGCAGGTTAATCTCTGTCTGTTCTAGCAGGTTAATCTGTGTCTGTTCCAGTAGGTTAATCTGTGTTTGTTCTGGCAGGTTAATATGTGTCTGTTCTGGCAGGTTAATCTGTGTCTGTTCTGACAGGTTAATATGTGTCTGTTCTGTTGGGTTAAGCTGTGTATGTCCTGGCAGATTAATATGTGTCTGTTCTGGCAGGTTAATCTGTGTTTTTTCTGGCAGGTTAATATGTGTCTGTTCCAGTAGGTTAATATGTGTTTGTTCTGGCAGGTAAATCTGTGTCTGTTCGGGGCGGGTAAAAATGTTCTGTTCTAAACAGGAAAATATGTGCCCTTTTTCCCTGGGGGGTTAAATCTGTGTCTGCCCTGGAAAGGTTAATATGTGCCCTTGTTCTGGCGGGTTTAAATTATGTTTGTTCGGGCCCGGTTAATAGGGTGTTTTTCTGGCAAAATTATCTTTTGTCTTTTCTGGATTTTTAATATGTTAATTTTCTGTTTTAATTTTTTTTGTTTTGTCCTGGCAGTTTAAAATATGTGTCTTTTTCTGGCGGGTTTTAAATCTGTTTTTTTTCTGGAAAGGGTAATATGTGTCTTTTCCAGAAAGGTTAATATGTGTTTGTTCTGGCAGGAAATCTGTGTCTTTCGGGCGGAAAAAATTTTGGGGCTTTTTTCTGGCATTTTAACTGTGTTTTGGTTCGGCGGTTTAAAATCTGTGTCTGTTCTGGCAGGTTAATCTCTGTCTGTTCTAGCAAGTTAATCTGTGTCTATCTTGGCAGGTTAATCTGTGTCTATTCTGGCAGGTTAATATGTGTCTGTCCTGGCAGGTTAATCTGTGTCTGTCCTGGCAGGTTAATCTCTGTCTGTTCTGGCAGGTTAATATGTGTCTGTTCCAGTAGCTTAATCTGTGTCTGTTCTGGCAGGTGACTCTTTGTCTATTCTGGCAGGTTACTCTGTGTCTGTTCTGGCAGGTTAATATGTGTCTGTTCTGGCAGGTTAATCTCTGTCTGTTCTGGTTGGTTAATCTCTGTTTGTTCTGGCAGGTTAATCTGTGTCTGTTCTAGCAAGTTACTCTGTGTCTGTTCAGGCAGGTTTACTCTGTCTGTTCTGGCAGGTTAATCTCTGTCTGTTCTGGTTGGTTAATCTCTGTTTGTTCTGGCAGGTTAATCTATGTATGTTCTAGCAAGTTACTCTGTGTCTGTTCTGTCAGGTTACTCTGTGTCTGTTCTGGCAGGTTAATCTCTGTCTGTTCTGGTTGGTAAATCTCTATCTGTTCTGGCAGGTTAATCTGTGTCGTTCTGGCAGGTTAATATGTGTCTGTTCTGGAGGGTTAATCTGTGTCTGTTCCAGTAGCTTAATCTGTGTCTGTTCTAGCAGGTTTATTATAATCTGTGTCTGTATAATATGTGTCTGTTCTGGCAGGTTATTCTGTGTCTGTTCTGGCAGGTTATTCTGTGTCTGTTCCAGTAGGTTAATCTGTGTCTGTTCTAGCAGGTTAATCTCTGTCTGTTCGGGCAGGTTAATCTCTGTCTGTTCTGGCAGATTTGTATCTGTCTGTTCGGGCAGATTTGTCCCTGTCTGTTTCATCAGATTAAGGAAGGTTAATGATTCGTGTGAGCTAATATTAAGATATGCATTATACAAGATTTACCATATATAACAGTGATTTATTTATTCGCTTTGATGTTATATGTAAGAGAACAAATGTCATATTATTATGATGAAGTTTCACAAGATAACCAGTAAATTAATGTTTATGCATGTATTAGATTTGCTGTAAAATATCAATTTCTTATACAAAAAACTTTAAGAGGAAATCTAGCCATCTGGTTAAGGTGTCGGCCTCTCACACCATTAGGATTTTTATGGGTTTGAGTCCTGCTAGTGTTATAAGATGACACAAACACTGGTTAGTTTTCTGGTTAGTTTCAGAAAGCAGATTTGAAGCTGCAAGCTTTCTTCAAAGTCAGCCATAAACTAAAATAATGTTTACACTAACATTGTTTTAATTTGTACTCTTAAGTACAATATACACAGTAAAATGTAATAAATAAAAGATGAGTCATACTGTGTCCCGTGTACTTATACAGGATGTATGATTTTTCTGAAGGAATACTTACAATCTTTAGAGACAGGATTTTTATTTATTGTGACATTAATGTATTTCTGTAGGATAAAATCATGGATATATATGGCAATCAATATCCAGCAGATTTAGGCTTCTACTGGGATTATACCAAGGTTTATATAATTTAGCTTAGAAAATGCTCTAGCAATGACTGTAGGGGAAGTACAAGTCTTCATTTATAAGAATTCTCTAATATTGTATGTGAAGATACTTTAAATTATAGCATATAGCTGTATGGTTTTCTCTGTTTTTTTTTTCTTTGGGGTATTTAATCAATCACCAATAGTTACAGAATGCCAGTCTATTCTGTTGCTAACATCTTAGTCTTAATACTTAGTTGCAGTGAATGTCTTAAATAAGTGTTGTATATTATAAACAAAAAGTCATAAATTGTGAAATTGTGCTACAATACTTAATTGAGATTATATTCAGTGTAAAAGTAATGTTTATGTATATTAATGTAGGATAATGTGTATGAATAAAATGATATTAATTTGAGGTGAGGAAGATATTGACAGAGTTCATGTACATGTATTGTGTCCGTCTATTCTACAACTGGTGATTACATGATTTTACAAAATTAAGATGAGGATAACTAGAGGAACTTTATAAAGTATAAATATTTCATTAATTCTCTAAATTTTGAAAAATATCAACCAGACTGACATGATTTTGTGTATTAAACATTAAGCCGGTTGCCTTATATATACAAACATGGAAGAATGAAAACAAGGCAAGCAATATTTTAAAGTTTTGTTTGTTTTGCTACATGTATGTATAGGTTAAAATTTATAAGTATGTATTTACAAAAAAAGATCGGTCAGGGCGCAGCACAGCATAATTTGCATGGAAACTTTGCCCATAATCCATTTTTGGCAACATTTAGGATCATAATATATTTACATGAAGTACATGTTATAGTCTTGTGCTTACACTAACTTTTACTATATCAATGATTAAAGTTTGACATTGTTTAAAGCCTAATATATGACAGTATGAGATGATAATTATTTCAGTATCTGGGACGATGTTGACAGGGAGCAGTAGATCTAGCAGTGACCTTGGTGTACTGAGACCTTTAACCCTACGTGAGGTATGGGAGATATATATCAAAGCTGTGAAAAGTCAGGATCAATCAGCTGATAATGTGGAGGTAGGTTGATTCTGTCAGCAAATTTGATAATATTGTTTTCATATATGCACATTGGAATTAACAATATTGTTGTTAGATTGATAATAATTTTGTTGACAAAACAGATCAACATGAACAATTTTGTTGACAATTTTTAGATCAACATGATAGGGTTTTTATAAATTGCTTAGTACTAGTACTGTTAAGAAATTTAAATGTTTTGACTCATTTTCTTTTGAAACATTTATGATAAAACATCCATACAGTACAGTCAAATACAAATAGTTTATGTTTTATTCTATCTAGAAACAATCATATTTGCTGAATGTTCTCCTCAAGATGTGTGCAGCTGAAATGAGAGAAGGACAACTGCCAAACTTTAGGTGAGGAGAAATTCTATTTTATTGGTCTATGTGCATGTAAAGGTTGAATTTTGTCAGCATCTTCATGTACATAATGAGGCTACATTTTTGTGTTGTCATGGTTATTATATATTGATTGTAAGGCTTGCAAACTTAACGTTTTTATAAGTGCAGTGATATATCTAAGTTCTTGCCAGATGTTGCCTGGTTGTTAAAGGTTGTTACAGTGATAAACAATCAAATATATTTTACTTATCAACTAATTATGATTTATTAGATTCTAATATAATACTACATGAAATGTTCATCATTATAGCATGTATTTTGTCTGTGTGAACATGCATTCAATCAGGAAGTTATCTCATACTATTTTTATTATCATGCGTGAACTAGCTGGAAATGTTGTACTGGGGTATATAGCAATATTAAATGTTGTATGATGATACAGTATGGTAAACATAGATGTATGCACTGTCATGTACATTATTGTGAACTGACCCACTTCCCTGACTTATGATTCAGTGCATTAGGTTCAAATAGTGATGAGTAAGGTGTCTGAATAATTATACCCCCACCACAAAATGTGGGGGGGGGGGGGCTGTAATGGATTCGCTTTGTCGCGTCCGTCCGTTGGACGGTCCGAGCAAACATTTTGGGTTTAGGGGCTATATAACAGTAAAGAGAACAAAAGAGAACAATAGGTTCATTCCATGATCAAAGGGTTTATAAGAAAACAAAGAAAATAACAAAGAAAATAGCCCCTAAACCCAAAATGTTCGTCCGTCCGTCTGTCTCCATTTTCGTGTCCGCTCTATTAATCCTATACCAATTGAAGGATTTTCTTCAAACTTGGCTCAAATGTTCACCTCAACAAGGGGATGTGCAGAACCCATGTTGCCCATGTGTCAGCTCAAAGTCAAGGTCACAATTGAAGGTCAAATATCAAACAGTCAAATATTAGCCAGTATGTCGTGTCCCCTCTGTAAGTCCTACACTAATTGACAGATTTTCTTCAAACTTGGCTCAAATGTTCACCTCAACAAGGGGATGTGCAGAACCCATGTTGCCCGTGTGTCAGCTCAATGTCAAGGTCACAATTGAAGGTCAAATATCAAACAGTCAAATATTAGACAGTATGTTGTGTCCGCTATGTAAGTCCTACACTAATTGAAAGATTTTCTTCAATCTTGGCTCAAATGTTCACCTCAACAAGGTAATGTGCAGAACCTATGTCACCCTTTTGCCGGCTTAAGGTCAAGGTCACACGTGAAGGTCAAAAATTGACTTAGAAAATATTCTAAAATTTTAACATGTATTTGAATATTTCTGAAACTAGAAAAGGTATTTGCCTGAAACTTGAAATATATATGAAGTGTCACAATTAGGATATGCTGGTTAAGTTTCATAACTCTGTATTGCATTTTAAGAAAGTTATGCCCCTTTTTAAGTCTTCAAATTTACATACAATCAAATATCAGACAATATGTCGTGTCCGCTCTATAAATCCTATACTAATGGAAGAATTTTCTTCAAACTTTACTCAAATGTCCACCTCAACAAAGTTATGTGCAGAATCCATGTTACCTTTGTGCTGGCTAAAGGTCAAGGTCACACTTGGAGGTCAAAAATTGACTTAGAAAATTTTCTTAAATTTTAACATGTACTTGAATATTTCTGAAACTAGCAGGTATTTGCTTGAAACTTAAAAGATATATGAGGTGACACAAATAAGATATCCAGGTCAAGTATCATAACTCTGTATTGCATTTTGACAAAGTTATGCCCCTTTTAAGTCTTTAAATTTACATACAATCAATACTAGACAATATGTTGTGTCCGCGCTATAAATTCTATACTAATCAAAGTATTTTCTTCAAACTTTACTCAAATGTTCATCCCAACTGGGCAATGTGCAGAACCCATCTTACCCTTGTGCCAGCTTAAGGTCAAGGCCACACTTGAAGGTCAAAAATTGACTTAGAAAATGTTTAGTACATTGAGAAAATGAAAGGTTATTTTTAACTGTTTCGAACATGATTTGACAATATATAATTATTTATACTATTACCTGTACAATTAGTCTTTTTTTCAACAGAGATAATTTCTTTTTATGTATTTGTGCCACTAAAGTTATTCCCTTAACCACCTTTCCAAGTTGTCTTCTGTCAAGGACATTGGTGGGGGTATGAATAGCATTCAGGGATAGTTCTAGTTACTTCTAATATACTAGCTAAACAATTAATGCAGTCACACTCAGAAATTGTTTCTATATCCACAATTACTAATTGAAAGTTTTATGGCAGTAAAATTACTTCAAATGACAAGGTACAGAACTCTAGTACCACAATTTCAAGAATTATCTCCCCTTTGAACTTGAGCCCCTTTGCCCAACTGTTTATGGTTACCGGCTTTTCCTCCACCAGCTTGAAAGTTCTCATATGATTTGGACAGTGTTGGCTTTGGAATTAGAAGTTTGTGTAAAAATTGTCATTGTTTACTCAATTATTCAAACATTTTTTTACATGTATTTTGGAAGTATTCTTTTTTAAGAACAAACAAACAAACAAAACAATTTCTGAATCGGATATAATATCTTTGTGCACATTTAATTTACAATTTCATAATTATGTAAATTATGTATCAAAGAAATTACTTCAAGCTAATATAATTCTTCCTTATCATCAGTCACATAACAGAAGTATGACAATTTTCATATCTGTGGCACCTTAAAGAGACTCCACTGAGGTTTTTTGATGTGACGGGCCCGGAAATGATATTTAGAGATTAATGTTCCATTTGATGTAGGTCTAGACCAATAACTTATGTGAACAATTTCAGATCATTTGCTCTCTCTGTTTTTACCAGAATAATTATTCTGAAATTTGGAAATTGGCCCAAATGCTTTTCACTTAAATAGGGCAGTAAAAGCACAAAAATACAACTTTCAACTTGTTTTTGGGTATATTTCTTCATTTACATTATCTGTTGCTCATCTTTCTGTTTTAAGTGTTCATACTGATATTTAAGAAATTCAAATTTTATATTTTAGACTTTTGGACCTCAGTTGGGTTCCTTTAACTATTCGTCATAAAAACTTTTGTATAGAAATTGATTTTAACATGTTTGGTGTTTACTTTAAACTTTGAATTGTTTACCTTTATTATCATCTACATATATGTAACACAAGTCAGAGGTTATTAACCTGACATCTATGTTTTAAGAATTATCCCCCTTTGAACCTAATTTTTCATATAAATGAAAGTTGTTAATTTCTTAACTGTTTATATTATACAAGAGATTACTTCAAACTATATATACTTGAATCTAATTCTAACTAAATATTTTTCAGTACAGTACAAAAACTTTTGTTTATATTATTGATATGATTGTTATATCATGCCAAATAGTTTGACATTTTAGGTTAATTTTCCTAATATGTTTTAGCTTGAAAATTCGAGGATTAGGGAAAGCTATTGTACTCACCTAGGAAACTTTGGTCAAGTTTTTACATGCAAGTTACTATCTCCAAAACTACAGAAGTCAATGGGGTGAAACTTTACACACTTATTTGAGAGCAATACAGGAAGTCACTGTCCAAAGCCCATAACTCTGACTTGGATTTTGACACAGTTTTGGCCCTTTTTTGAACTTTTGAAAATTCTACATTATCCAGATTTTATTTTCTAATGCCTTCAAATACTGCCAAGTGTTAAATGAGTCAAGTGTACTGTCTCTTAAGACAGCTTTTGTGAAATAGGATGATATGTTACATATTGTCAACCATTATAAAAAAAAACCATCATGTGTTTATACTTAGATAATATTTACATGTCATAGAAGTAGTTTATATAGTGCTTTAAACTTTTCATGGATACAATATGTACTTTACTGCGTTGCACAGTTTTACATGAACTATTTTAGAAATGTAGGCAAGATATTTATATTTTTGTATATTATTGTACAGTATTGTATATATTTATGTTGTATTTGTGTTTTATCATGTATGAGTCAAGTATTGTAGATTATGAAACTTGGTCAGGTTCACTTACTGTATTGATGTAGATAAATTATCTTTGTAGTCTATCTATGTATGTTGATATATATTTGATAAATATTTTTAAATCTGGTCTGTGTTGAATTTGTGAAACTGATCAGCTCTCCCTTGTTAATTAACTCTAAGCCTGCTAGTGGCAAGTGAATCTGCCAATGTCACTAGTGTTCCTCAAGAACAACTTCCATATATTTGCCATCCATCCATGGCCTTGCACTGTTTGATATTCAGTCAGTTCTTGAAAGTCAGTTTGAAAATGTCCCTAAAAGTGATGAATTGTTTTGTCCAGATTGAAAAATGGACAAGTCTGTTCAAGAAATTTAGTTGGTTAATGGTTAAAGTAATTTTTAAGATCATTAAAATGAAAATAAGCAGACAATAGAATGGACTTAGTTAAAATTGTAAAGATTTTTATACTGTTAGTATAGCATAGGATTCAGGTATTAATTAAGGTTTTCTGGAAGCTGATCTGAGAATTAAAAAGCACCAATACATGTTACCTCAATTTTAAATCACATCTGAATCTGCAATTTTATTGTTAAAATTGTGACAATAAAACTTGCATCCTGACAATTTGTTCACAGACAGTGTTTCGTTGAAGCATGTGGCAAGACTGTTACCATTGACCCTGTAGTCAGACAGCATTACCAAGAACTATGTAGCTAGACAGTGTTACCATTGAACCATGAAGCTAGACAGTGTAACCATTGAACTATGTAGCTTAACAGTGTAACCATTGAACTATGTAGCTAAACAGTGTAACCATTGAACTATGTAGCTAAACAGTATAACCATTTAGCCAAATAGCCAGCCAGTGTTGCCATTAAACCTTATAGAAAGTCAGTGTTACCATTGAACCATGAAGCCAAATTGTTTCCATTGAACCATGTAGCCAGATTGTTGCCATTGAACCATGTAGCAAGAGAATGTTACTATTAAGCCATGTAGCTAGATAGTGTTACTGTTGAACCATGTAGCCAGATTATTGCAATTGAACCATGTAGCCAGATTGTTACCATTGAACCATAGTGTTAATGTTGAACCATGTAGCCAGATTGTTACCATTGAACCATAGTGTTAATATTGAACCATGTAGCCAGATTGTTACCATTGAACCATAGTGTTAATATTGAACCATGTAGCCAGATTGTTACCATTGAACCATAGTGTTAACATTGAACCATGTAGCCAGATTGTTACCATTGAACCATAGTGTTAACATTGAACCATGTAGCCAGATTGTTACCATTGAACCATAGTGTTAATATTGAACCATGTAGCCAGATTGTTACCATTGAACCATAGTGTTAATATTGAACCATGTAGCCAGATTGTTACCATTGAACCATAGTGTTAATATTGAACCATGTAGCCAGATTGTTACCATTGAACCATAGTGTTAATATTGAACCATGTAGCCAGATTGTTACCATTGAACCATAGTGTTAACATTGAACCATGTAGCCAGATTGTTACCATTGAACCATAGTGTTAACATTGAACCATGTAGCCAGAGAGTGCTATCATTAAGCCGTATAGCCAGATAGACAGTGGTGCTGTTTAACCATGTAGCCAGATTGTTTCCATTGAACCATGAACCCAGAAAGTGTTACACTTAAGCCATGTAGCTAATTAGACAGTGGTATCATTGATTCGTGTAGCCAGACAGTGTTGCTATTGAAGCATGCATCCTCTTTAAATTTTCTTCAATATGTTAAGTTGTTACAAAATTGTTACAACATTTATGATATATTGTCAAATCTTGCTATTGTGACAGTTGGGTTCTGCTAATAGGAAAGGCAAGACAAATTTTATGTTTAAACTATCTATATAGAGGTTTGGATGTTTTAGCAGTTGAAAGTACTAGATGCTAACCTGCCAATCAAGACGAGTATTGGTTTAACTGACAATAAGTCTTTAAGTTTAAAGTGTAGTCTATAATGGAAGAAATATTAGATTAGTAAAAAACTTCATCTAGAATATGAATTAAATGGAAGGAAATGCAAGCATAATAATTGAGATTATTGGGTTATCTTGGTGTTATTTTATCAGTTAGTAGTACATTTCATCTGTTGTATAGATTTATATACCTGATATACCTGGTTGTTGATAATATAGCTATATGACAGTAATTAGTTGATTACCATAACTGACTATCTACACATAAAGATTAGTTTAAATGATAGAAATAAAAGTGATTAAATATCAAGTATTGATGTTATAAACAACTTCAAAATGTGATATATGTATGTACATGTATATTATAAATTATATGAAAATGGGAAAATTATAATGAGTATCCAATCAGGACAGTTGTAAATAAGGTAAAATGTTTTGTATGATTATCTAAAAAATTTGTTTCTGTGTAAAATTGGAGGCTATGGTTTATTGCCTTTTAAAGGAGGTTTTCGGGAGTTTTCATATAGACATATAGGCAAAATTAAAACTGTTCTGTAGAATTTCTTTAAACTTGGCATGTTGTTAGAATATGATAACAGAAACATTTTAAGCCAAAAAAAAAAAAATTGGGGCCACCGTTCTCGTTTTTGAGTTATTTGCCCTCAAATCAGAATTTTCTACTTATTTGAGGTCATTTAAAGGGTAGATAACTTATACATATGTAAATGAATTCTTGTTTTTACTTCTGGATAATGTTCTTCTTTTTTTGTGCCCCCACGTTAGTGGCGGGCATTTAGATTTACCCTTGTCCATCCGTCCGTCCGTCTGTCCGTCCGTCTGTCCGTCCATCTGTCCGTCCGTTCACTTTTGTGTCGCACGTAACTCAAAAAGTATTTGACCTAGAGTCATGAAACTTTACAGGAATGTTGATCAGCATGTGCAGTTGTGCACCTGGGTATTTTGGTCTGGATATTTTTAGTATTTTCAGAGTAATTGCCCTTGACTTAGTAAAATTTTGCAATTTTCAACTTGTGTCGCATGTAACTCAAAAAGTATTTGACCTACAGTTATGAAACTTTACAGGAATGTTGATCAGCATGTGTAGTTGTGCACCTGGGTATTTTCGTCTGGATATTTTTAGTATTTTCAGAGTTATTGCCCTTGACTTAGTAAAATTTTGCAATTTTCAACTTGTGTCGCATGTAACTCAAAAAGTATTTGACCTAGAGTCATGAAACTTTACAGGAATGTTGATCAGCATGTGTAGTTGTGCACCTGGGTATTTTCGTCTGGATATTTATAGTATTTTCAGAGTTATTGCCCTTGACTTAGTAAAATTTGGCAATTTTCAACATGTGTCGCACATAACTCAAAAAGTATTTGACCTAGAGTCATGAAACTTTACAGGAATATTGATCAGCATGTGCAGTTGTGCACCAGATATTTTGGTCTGGATTTATTTAGTATTTTTAGAGTTATTGCCCTTCACTTAGAAATTTTTTGCAATTTTCAACTTGTGTCGCAAGTTTCTCAAAAAGGATTTGACATAGTCAATAAACCTTATGGGCAGGTTGCTCAGCATATTTTAGATTTGCACCTGGGGTTTAGCTTGAGGATTTATCCAGTATTTGTAGAGTTATTTCCCTTGACTTAGTAAAAAGATTGACAGAACAGTGTCGCGGTGGGGGCACCCGTGTCCTATGGACACAATTCTAGTTTAAGAATACAATACATAATTACATGCAATTCCTTATATTGTTTCTGTTATTTTTTTCAATGAAAATAAAGATACTTTAAATTTATGAAAAATAGGCCAATTTTAAAGAAAAAATGCACAGGTTAAGAGAAGAAGTGGGTAAAAAAGTTATCCACTCTAAATTTGTCTTGATCTGATCTAAATTAATTTTTTGCATATTGACTTAGACCAAGGTAAGCTTCATGAAAATAACAAGAAAAAAACATATTGTTTTGCTTCATTGTAAATTATCTGCACTTGAATTTAACAAAAAAGTCCAATTCAAGGGCAGATAACTGGAAAATGAGAACGGTGACCCCAATTTTTTTCTGTTTAAAATTTTTCTGTTATCATAGTCTAATAACATGCCAAGTTTAAAGAAATTCTATTGAACAGTTTAAATTTTGTCTATATGTCTTTATAAAAATTCCGGAAAACGTCTTTAAGCTCACCTAAAACAATAAGAGGTCAAGGTCACCTGTTGTAACTTCTATGTAAGGAGTTTATGAGTGATACTAAATATTCTATTTAATGTTTCAGTGATAAAAGAAGTGTGTGTAGTCAGCTGTGAAAGGAGTTTATGAGTGATGTACTAAATATTCTATGTAATGTTTCAGCAATATGAGGAGTGTGTGTTAGTCAGCTGTGAAAGGAGTTTATGAGTGATATACTCAATATTCTATTTAATGTTTCATCAATATGAGGAGTGTGTGTAGTCAGCTGTGAAAGGAGTTTATGAGTGATGTACTAAATATTCTATGTAATGTTTCAGCAATATGAGGAGTGTGTGTTAGTCAGCTGTGAAAGGAGTTTATGAGTGATGTACTCAATATTCTATTTAATGTTTCAGCAATATGAGGAGTGTGTGTAGTCAGCTGTGAAAGGAGTTTATGAGTGATATACTCAATATTCTATGTAATGTTTCAGCAATATGAGGAGTGTGTGTTAGTCAGCTGTGAAAGGAGTTTATGAGTGATATACTCAATATTCTATTTAATGTTTCAGCAATATGAGGAGTGTGTGTAGTCAGCTGTGAAAGGAGTTTATGAGTGATGTACTAAATATTCTATGTAATGTTTCAGCAATATGAGGAGTGTGTGTAGTCAGCTGTGAAAGGAGTTTATGAGTGATGTACTAAATATTCTATGTAATGTTTCAGCAATATGAGGAGTGTGTGTTAGTCAGCTGTGAAAGGAGTTTATGAGTGATATACTCAATATTCTATTTAATGTTTCAGCAATATGAGGAGTGTGTGTAGTCAGCTGTGAAAGGAGTTTATGAGTGATGTACTAAATATTCTATTTAATGTTTCAGTGATATGAGGACTGTGTGTAGTCAGCTGTGTAAGGAGTTTATGAGTGATATACTAAATATTCTATTTTATGTTTCAGTGATATGAGGAGTGTGTGTAGTCAGCTGTGTAAGGAGTTTATGAGTGATATACTAAATATTCTATTTAATGTTTCAGTGATATGAGGAGTGTGTGTAGTCAGCTGTGTAAGGAGTTTATGAGTGATATACTAAATATTCTATTTAATGTTTCAGTGATATGAGGAGTGTGTGTAGTCAGCTGTGTAAGGAGTTTATGAGTGATATACTAAATATTCTATTTAATGTTTCAGTGATATGAGGCGTGTTAGTAGTCAGCTGTGAAAGGAGTTTATGAGTGATATACTAAATATTGTATTTAATATTTCAGTGATAATAGAAGTGTTTGTGTATTCAGCTCTGTAAGGAGTTTATGAGTGATATAGTAAATATTGTATAAAATATTTTAGTGATATGAGGAGTGTGTGTAGTCAGTTGTGTAAGGAGTTTATGAGTGATATACTAAATGTTGTATTTAATGTTTCAGTGATATGAGGAGTGTGTGTAGTCAACTGTGTAAGGAGTTTATGAGTGACATTTTACACATCACAAGCAGATCTGAGGATAATGATGTGACACAATTACAGAATTATCTCCTGGAGGGGCGGGGCTGGATCTTGCTCCAAGTTATACACAACAAAGGCATTCAGGTACTTAAATGACTGAAATATTTACATACCTGTGTATTTCTACTGTTGTATGTAGCACTATTTATATCTTTAAAATGAAAGAAAGTAAATTTTTATAGTTTTTTAAATGTTCACATGTAGTGCATTTTTAGCTTGACTATTTCTGAAAAGAATAAGTAGAGCTATTGTAGTCACCCAGCATAGGCATCGGCGTAACCACTTATGTTAAAGTTTTTGTAATACCTCAAATATTTTCAAAGTTCATTGACATATGGCTTTGAAACTTTGCACACTTGTTCACCATCATGACCCCAACCTGTAGACAGGAGGAGGTAACTGTATCAAGCATTTTGACAGAATTGTGCCCCATTTTGGACTTACAATTTTCATTAAAGTTTTTGTAATACCTCAAATATTTTCAAAGTCCATTGATATGTGGTTTTGAAACTTTGCACACTTGTTCATCATCATAACCCCAACCTGTAGACAGGAGGAGGTAACTGTATCAAGCATTTTGACAGAATTGGGCCCCTTTTTGGACTTACAATTTTCATTAAAGTTTTTGTAATACCTCAAATATTTTCAAAGTACATTGATATGTGGCTTTGAAACTCTGCACACTTGTTCATCATCATTACCCCCAATCTGTAGACAGGAGGAGGTAACTCTATCAAGCATTTTGACAGAATTATGCCCCTTTTTTTACTTAGAATTTATGTAATGTTTTTGTAACACCTCAAATATTTTCAAAGTCCATTAACATATGACTTTGAAACTTTGCACACTTGTTCACCATCATCACCCACCCTGTAGACAAGAGGAGGTAACTCTATGAAGCATTTTGCAGAATAATTCCCATTTTTCGACTTAGAATCTACATTGAAGTTTGCATACCTGATTACCACCTCAGAAATTTTCATATTCTATTGACATCTGGCTTTGAAACAAGTTGAAATTTTATACTCTTTTGAGAGCATAATAGGACTCTCTCCAAGGCCTATAACTGTAACATGGATTTAAATAAAAATTTTGCCGTTTTGCTAACTTAGAAAATGTCACATTATCAAAACTCTTTTACTATCAAGCACTAAGAATAGTCGAACATTGCTGTCCTACCAATAGCTCTTGTATTATGTTATTGTAGACTTGGGCCTATTTTAACTGTGTATATTAATTTACCTTTGTTCCAGACTTTAACTGGATATAGAGATTTTGCCAAGCTGCTTGTGTCACTTTTACCCTGGTGCTTAAATTTTCCCCTCAAATCTACTGATGGTCAAGATATAGGTAAGTGTTCTGCCCCACTCTCATCATTATGGATCTCTAAAAAAGTAAAGAGTAATTTTTTGTTGTTGAAAATAGCTTATATATTCATTTACACAAATTTACTAAAACCAGTTAGTTTTTTTTGCTCACCTGGCACAAAGTAAGTGCAATTATAGCCCTTATTTGTAAAGTGCTAGGGTTTAAGGACTTTTAACAGATTTCCAAATTCATCTGCTGGACACTGCCTAAATTTGCTGTGGCAGTTTAGTTACACATACTTGTTTAATGCCATTATTTACCAGAGTGATTATATTGAGAAGATGGCAGTGACTGATTTTTAATTTCAGATATATCACAGTATTACACCATACCCTCAGTCACTGACTGCTTCCAAAATATACTTAAAATATGTCAAACAAAACAAGGACAATCACGAAACCAGTCAGTACCATCTACCAGATTAAATGGCTTAACATCAAAAGAGCGTGTAGCTAAGGATGGTGTCTCAACAGGTAAACGTAGGTTCTCAAAGAGGAAATCAGATGATAGTAAGGATATGAGTGTAGATTCTGAGGAGGAAAGTTCAGAAACAAAGGATGACAGGTCAAAGGGTAAGCTGAGGAAGAAATTCCGCTATTGTTCTGTACGTGGGTATGGAGATAGTCGAACACAACCTAAAGCTGATTCAGAATCTGATGATGATGACATAGAAACTTTGATAAAAAGCATGAATATATCAGATAAAAATTTTATATCAGGATTTGAGTTATGTATTATGATATTAGAACTCTTGTATGAACTAACTTTGTCTGATCTCAATGAAACACCAAGTGGTAAAATGATCTCGCCAGTAATATTGCCAAGTTTGCTACAATGTCTTGTTAGCTCAGAGAGTGATATGAAACATGAGGATGAAGATGATACTGATATGTATAATGCAAGGATTGTGATAAGACGTCATTTAGTTCGAGTTGTCATCACATGCAGTGGTATAACAGCGGCACAACCTAATGGTATGAACAATCTAATTTCTCACAGAGTAATAGAACAACTGCTCACTACAGGAATGCATACATCTGTATACCAGTCAGACAGGTCATACTCAGACCTCCTCCGCAACTGTAAGAATGAAATTTGCCTCATGTCTGACATTGTTATTGGTACACTTCTCTGTTTGACAGTAGTGTTTGAAAATTTACCTTTCAATCTGAGTTTTATCAAAACTGCACTGCGTCTTGTGGAAGAGTTTGATGATCAAAAGGGATTTCAAATGTTAGAACAATGCATCATGTTCAATGATTGGTTGAAAACTTCTTCATCTGAGTCAATGATTGGTCAAATGCTAGATGATGAACCAATCAAAATAGTTGGTTCATTCTTGAACACATTGAAAGTTGTTAGGGTGAATTATGTTCATTCTATGAAATGTGTGAAAAGGAAACATGTCCAATGTTCATACACCCAGTACTATGATCACCATCATGATATATTAGGTGTAGCAGCAGTACGGGAAGATTCGGGAGCAGAAGCTAGAAGAGATCAAGGTAATCTGTCTCTAGGTGGGAGAAGACCCTCTCAATCATCAGTAGCAAGCCTGAACTCACAGTACAGTACACAAGTCATTTGTCTTGTGTCATCATGCACTCAATTCTTGCTTGACCTTTTGACAAAGGTCACAACTAAGATAACTAGATTAGATCTTCTGAAGACTATTTACTCATCTGGCATCTGTTGTTGTATGAAACTAGAAAACATTATGGCAGCTTTTGTGATAGGAATACAGAAATTTTCTCCAGCAGTCAGAATGTTCAGTATAGATACACTAAACTGTATCTTACTGGAACATTTCTCCGGTGGTATATCGTACTTCAGAGGAGATATTCCGAGTCTATCATGTTCATTTTGTGAGAAAGAGACTGTAATTCAACATGAAATAAAAGATAAAAACTTGTGTTTATCAAAGGTCCATGGAGATAATCTTGAAGGGAAAGGTTTGGATAGTGGCATTGATAGCAGTGATGTTAACAGAGAAGCCAAGTTGTCTGCATTTCAAAAACTCTCAAAGTGGAGGGCTGTCTCTCAGCTGAATGCTCTCTTATATTCTGATGATGAAACAGTAGCAATTTCTATTGCAAAGCATCTGTTGGTCCTAGCAATTAAAGGTAACCCATATCTGAAAGCTGAACTTTTCTTCAGTTTGTACAGTCATGCATTAGACTGTGTGAAGAAGGATTCAGGAAAGGTTGAGAAAGGAACACAGACATTGTCAAAGTCAGTACAAGTTCATTGTTTGTCTGCCCTTCCTTACTTACTTCAAGCAAACTGTGTAACTAAAGTGTTCCTGTCAAGAAAGGGGGTTCGTAAACTATGTGAACTTCTAGAAGATGACATATTGAGAGCTCCAGTACTGAGAATCTTTGAAGCGTTAGTTGTTCTAGATGGTCAAAAGTTAACAAATGACAAGAATGTTGATAAAGAAGAATGCCCCTGTCCATACAATGGTGGGGGAGTTATAGATGCTTTCATTATTGAATTATCAAAACGTTCATTTAGTAACACTGACATGTACCAGGATGAGTCAGATAAAGGTTGTAAGGGTCGTATTAGACGTGATAGTGCCGTTCTATCCAAATTTTCTCTACCTGTTCTTGTAGACCTATGGGAAACATGTGCCAAATTATGTCTTCACAGTCATATATTTGTTTCTCAGTTTATTGAAACTCAAAGTTTCGGTAAAACTGAAGCATTACTGTTGGAAACTTTGGATGTGATAATGACCCCTGATCTGATTGGCCATCTAAAGTCACATGGTAGTTTAGAAGCGGAGGATTCTGGGCTAGACGTGGAACCAGCTGTGGAAATGGAAAGAGGGGATCAAGAAAGTTTCTTCCAAAGATTGTCATTGTTTGAGTCACTGGTCATTGTAACAAGTGCCGGACATAAACAACTAGGTATCAAGGTAAGAACTAATTATATCTTAGGTTTGTTGATTCAAGTTAGATCAAGATGTTTTATATACAATTATAAAATGATTTAGTGATTATGTTTCTAACAGATATTTTAAATTGTTCAAAACCAACACATGTTCTTGTGATATCACTGGAGTATCATAATTTAAACTGAGTATTATATGGGTAGAAATTGAAATGAGGTCTAACACTAATGACAAGGTATGTTGACATGTTGTGGTTGCTTTGAAGTAAAAATCTGCTTAGATCACAGATCTTTATTGGATTGTTAGAGGGGTAGCTAGAATATTTATAAATGATGATAAAAATGTTTGAAACAGAAGATAAACCTTATTTCATTATGTTTCACATGAAGTTGATGAATAGATTGATTGAATACAGGTGCAATGATTATCCTTCGATATTTTCATATGTCATTGATAAAATTAAATTATAAAAACTACTGAAACATCACTTTGGACTATCTGTCCCAAGGTGTTTTTGTCACTGACAAAATAAATATTTATTGGTGACTCAGATATGATTAGCTCTTAATCTTTCTCGGAAAACATATTGTTGGGGGATTGTTCTTGAATTATGTAAAAAAAATCTCCAACTACTTAAGTCAGGTCTTGTAAGTAATAAAGAAAAACTTTTCTGTAAACTAGTTTTATTCTCTCACACACTGATTTTATTTTGAAGCGTAGTTGTGTTTAAAGGGAGATAAATCTGAACTGTAACATTATTAATGAATACAAGAGTTACGCTTTTTTTATTGATAATTAGTTCATTAGAAAAAAGTGCTGTATTTGACAACACGTAAAATGAGAATAATTGAATTTAGATTAATTTATTGATTTGAAGGAAAGATTGTGCAACAAAATCAGGAATTGTGTCATAAAGTTTTTGTAATATTGATATGTTTTTGCCTTCACAAATTTTAAAGAACTCTAAATAGATGTTTTCTATGTTTGAAAGTTAAGAGATAGTGAATAGGTTAAGATTTTATGAAAAGTATAAGTATGGTTTTTATTGCAGCAATACATACAGTTAAAGGTATGGCAGAGGATGAGAGAGAGGTTTACAGACAATGTTAGACTACCACCAACAAAACTAAAATTGTTACTGGACACAGTGATGAATGCTGCCATGCCACAGTTTGTCTCTCTTCTAGAATACTCTTACAGCAAAAACATAGCTCTAGTTGTATGTATATATCTTTATCTATTTTAATGTATTACATTTTATATATAGCTCTAGTTGTATGTGTATATCTTTATCTATTATAATATATATTATTTTTTATATATAGCTCTAGTTGAATGTATATATATCTTTATCTATTATAATGTATTACATTTTATATATAGCTTTAGTTGTATGTGTATATCTGTAATACATATTTTATATAATCTAAGATTTATATTGTGACTATAAATTGAAATGTAGTGGCTTATGATCTTGTAGGGTAGCATTGACACATAGTGATCACTTCTTTATTATCATCTGTGCGTCTGTCCAAACTACTTCTCAAAAACACTACTCATCCTTTACATGAATTGTACCCCTTGATGAAGTCTGGGGCCGATAACTGATAATCATAATCTGCCTGCTGAACATGAGTACGTGCACAAACTGAAACAATGACGTCACATTTTACGTCATCAAATCAGCTTGCTCTAAAAGTGAAAGTAGGATTGAAGCACGAATAGCTTGATTTAGAATTAGAACATTAGAGTAATTTCTACAAACACAGCTTTATTGAAATTTAAAGAAATAAAATACTATACATAGCTACAGTTTCAGTCCATGAAAATCAATTGTGCTTCTGGATTCTGTTGCATACACATAAGGGAAGCAACTCTGTAGAAGTTACTGTATAGTACAGGTTAAATCTACAGAGATAGGAATTTCAACAAAAAAAATATCAAAGTAAATTTTAGATCTATCAAGTGTATTAAGGACATTTATACACGTCATAGATTGGCCAGAAGGTGAGAATCGGCCCTGGAATGAATAATGCCCTTGGGGGGCCATTATTCATTTTGCGGGCAAATTATCACCTTACAGCCCTACTCTGACGTGTATTCCTCTCTTAAAATTAGCTAGCTATATCTCAGATATCATACATAAAAACTTACATTTTAGCTAGTTTTATCTCAGATATATAAACAAACTCACATATAAGCTAGCTTTATCTCAGATAATAAACTTTGTCATGCTTTATTAATATTAATATTAATATAATTACAGAGTGTGTCAACTCATATCAAGAATAATCATAATCAAGAATTTTGTCCTTATGTGGTTATACTATATCTTGCAACAGATATTTGTTCATTTATGTTACAGTTATGTCACAATGTGATTGAATTTGTTGCCAGGAGAATAGTGCCAAACTGATTTTCTCATTTTTCTCTGTAAAGATAAGAGTTACAAATTACTTGTCAAAATACCATGTTAAGAATAACGTTTGCCAAAATCTCTAGATATAATTGTAGCATAACTATATGAGACATGAGCACAGCTATCTTGTTAGTCAATAGTAACATGTAGATTTATGACAATGGTGTTATAGTTATATACAGACATAACAAGTTAATATTGAATTATTAATTGGTATTTATGGTAGTTATTCTCCCATTGGGTATCATGGTAACTTGTGGATTTGTGAGTTATAAATGTAACTTGATTTAATCAATGATTAGCTCTATCATATACAGGATGGTATGTTTTCCAGTCTTATCTAGTATCTCTTGTGTATAATCACTGTTGGTTCCTCTCTTTGTTGTATGATACTTAATTTGAACCATTAGATTGGTTCCTGGCTCTCTTGTGAGAGGCTTAGCTTGAACTGTTACATTGGTCCCTGGCTTTGTTGTATGACACCTAATATGAACCATTAGATTGGTTCCTGGCTATCTTGTGTGATGCTTTTCCTGAACTGTTACATTGGTCCCTGGCTTTGTTGTATGATGCTTAATTTGAACCATTAGATTGGTTCCTGGCTATTTTGTGTGATACTTAGCTTGAACTATTACATTGGTCCCTGGCTTTGTTGTATGATGCTTTATTTGAACCTTTACAATGGTTTTACTTGCTTTCTTTTTCCATGCTCACTTTGAACGTGATGCTTAGCTTGAACTATTACATTGGTCCATGGCTTTGTTGTTTAATGCTTAATTTGAACCTTTACATTGGTTCTTCTTGTTTTTCACTTTGAACTATTATTACATTGGCACCATTGTGCAATGCTGCTAACATTTAACCATTACATTAGTTCATATGGCTTTCTGTTATGATCCTCATTTTGAACCATTAGGTCTAGGTTCACATTGGTTCCTGTATTTCTTCCAGATATTCACTTTGAATCATTTTGAATGCATGTTGTGTCCAACAACCAGATTTAGTTCCTGCTCTCCTGTTATATTGTCTTTATATGCAACATAAAGTTTATGTAGTATTTTTATTTTGATGAAAAATACATATTTCAAGGCCCAATAAATTCCAAAAAATGAGATTATTTTTATGTCTCAAAACCTTTTATTTTGCTCAAAAAAAGGAAATGCCTTTCTTTGCTTGTTTTCTGGCCAGTGAAATATCTTTATACATCATGAAGAAAGAGAAGTTATTTAGGATCTGTACATCTGTTCAGTTTGTATCATAGTTACTGCCTTGTGTTGGATAAATATGGGCATTTATGTCCTTCTGAAATGTCATGCAGACCATAATTCATATTTATTTGATAGTTTTGTTCATATAAAATGAGAGCAGTTATCATACAAGTGTGTAGAAAATCAATTCTCAAGAAATTCTTCCTGATTTAGTTAAAATGAGCATTTTTCTGTGGTTGTTTCTTAGTGGTCACAAGTTACATTTATGTTCTTTCTGGAATTTGATATTTCCTGTACAATTGTGTCTGAAATTCTCATTAAAATTATGCTTTTATTTTTATTAAGGAATAAAATAACAGTTGAAACAATTTATATATTGAAATATCTCTAGATATAAGACTTTTAATCATTGTATCAAAGTAAATCTAAGTTTTGTCAGAATAATTCTTCTAATTGTGAACTAAAATTGAAAAGCCTTGCAATTCTTTTCACTCAAATTAAGCATACCATTGTAATGCATGCAACTCATCTGGCTACCCCATCCCCCATGCTAGATGAAATTTCCGGCATAGGTAAAACTAATGAAACACCTGTCTGATATGCAACAAACACTTTTCCAGGAACATGAAGACAAAAACAATATTTATTTAAAACCCTGCAATTTCTAATAGTCCCCTTAACATATGTATTGTTTTATTATATACACAAGAAACCTGCTGATAATCAAGAGCAAAATTAATTTCTTTGTGGCCCATAGACATGCATAGAATTCTGTCAACATTTTAAATTTAGACTAAGCTACACCCTTGGTTTTCTTCAAGTATTAAAATTACGTAAAACGTATATGGAAATTAGTATATAGTAATGATTAACAAGTGTAATAAAGACAGTCTGTCAAAATGTGTAAACTGTCATCCTATACAGGTTTCATTGTAAAATACTTCGATACATAATTTTTGTGATGTTTGATGTTGAATGTTGCAGACATTCCTGCATATATTTGTCACATTTGAAAAATAAGCTTAATTCAAAGAAAGTCAGAGCTGTAAATAATGCAACATTTTGTCTAGAAGAGTGTCCACATTTCCATCTACTGTAGATTTGTGGGGCCATGTTAATTCTTGTTAGTGTATGGAATTATTGCTAGGACCAAAAAGCATGAGTTTTTGTAAGAATTTGTTTGAATGCCATGTTATCATATTTTACTCCTTATATTGTTATACCCTGTCAGTTAAACATTTTCTAATAGTTTTAGAAAAATCCAGTGTTATACATAAATATGATAGAAGTATTTATTTTGTCATATAAGAGCATTTAGTTTCATGTGTATTGGTATTTTAAGAGCAACTGCCAGTTTGTCTCCTGCTCACCACTTCTATATTCTGTCTGTCTGTTTACTCTGGGATAAGATAACAGTTTAGGTAGGAGTGTTGGATGCTGAACTAGTCTACAGAAGTATTGGAAATTGTTTAGAAAAACTTTGTCTACTATAGTTAGAAGATTAATGTGTGAGGTGTTGGGATATATTAGGTAAACTTCTAATACACTAGAAGATTGAGATTTATTCTAGTTTGATAAAGAAGCAGAAATCTGACCTGATGTCTAATGACATTAATTACATACTATATACACATTGACTAGTATCATAGATCAGCTTGCCAGGTAATTATCTATCTAACTTAAATAACTAAACTTTTATCACCTGATAAAAATATCTTATTTTGTTAATTTTCATAGTTATATTTTATGCAAATTATTTAGAAAATTTTACACATATGATTTACTGATGACCAACTTGGCTTTTTTTCTTTTCAAAGTTTTTAAAGGATACAGCTGATTTACAACTTTTCTGGGTTTTTTTTGTTTGTTTGTGGGGTTTTTTTGCATGACATCTTGTATGTATTTTTGTTCAACAGTCTGTTGTTTATGGTTAAGAGTATTATACAGCTTGTTGTATGTTTAACAATTGATGATATTATATATGATGATATGATTTCAGCATGTAAGAGATGATGATATATATGATGATATGATTTCAGCATGTAAGGGATGATGATATATATATTGATATGATTTCAGCATGTAAGGGATGATGATATATATATTGATATGATTTCAGCATGTAAGGGATGATGATGATAGATATGATGATATGATTTCAGCATGTAAGAGATGATGATATATATGATGATATGATTTCAGCATGTAAGAGATGATGATATATATGATGATATGATTTCAGCATGTAAGAGATGATGATATATATGATGATATGATTTCAGCATGTAAGAGATGATGATATATATGATGATATGATTTTAGCATGTAAGAGATGATGATATATATGATGATATGATTTCAGCATGTAAGGGGATGATGATATACATGATGATATGATTTCAGCATGTAAGAGATGATGATATATATGATGATATGATTTCAGCATGTAAGAGTTGATGATATATATGATGATATGATTTCAGCATGTAAGAGATGATGATATATATGATGATATGATTTCAGCATGTAAGAGATGATGATATATATGATGATATGATTTCAGCATGTAAGAGATGATGATATACATGATGATATGATTTCAGCATGTAAGAGATGATGATATATATGATGATATGATTTCAGCATGTAAGAGATGATGATATATATGATGATATGATTTCAGCATGTAAGAGATGATGATATATATGATGATATGATTTCAGCATGTAAGAGATGATAATATACATGATGATATGATTTCAGCATGTAAGAGATGATGATATATATGATGATATGATTTCAGCATGTAAGAGATGATGATATATATGATGATATGATTTCAGCATGTAAGAGATGATGATGATATATATGATGATATGATTTCAGCATGTAAGAGATGATGATATATATGATGATATGATTTCAGCATGTAAGAGATGATGATGATGATATATATGATGATATGATTTCAGCATGTAAGAGATAATGATGATATATATGATGATATGATTTCAGCATGTAAGGGATGATGATGATGATATATATGATGATATGATTTCAGTATGTAAGAGATGATGATATATATGATGATATGATTTCAGCATGTAAGAGATGATGATGATATATATGATGATATGATTTCAGCATGTAAGAGATGATGATATTATATATGTTGATTTGATTTCAGCATGTAAGAGATGATGATATACATGATGATATGATTTCAGCATGTAAGAGATGATGATATATATGATGATATGATTTCAGCATGTAAGAGATGATGATATATATGATGATATGATTTCAGCATGTAAGAGATGATGATGATATACATGATGATATGATTTCAGCATGTAAGAGATGATGATATACATGATGATATGATTTCAGCATGTAAGAGTTGATGATATATATGATGATATGATTTCAGCATGTAAGGGGATGATGATATATATGATGATATGATTTCAGCATGTAAGAGATGATGATATATATGATGATATGATTTCAGCATGTAAGGGGATGATGATATATATGATGATATGATTTCAGCATGTAAGAGATGATGATATATATGATGATATGATTTCAGCATGTTAGAGATGATGATATGATTTCAGCATGTAAGAGATGATGATATACATGATGATATGATTTCAGCATGTAAGAGATGATGATATATATGATGATATGATTTCAGCATGTAAGGGGATGATGATATATATGATGATATGATATCAGCATGTAAGAGATGATGATATATATGATGATATGATTTCAGCATGTAAGAGATGATGATATATATGATGATATGATTTCAGCATGTAAGAGATGATGATATATATGATGATATGATTTCAGCATGTAAGGGATGATGATATATATGATGATATGATTTCAGCATGTAAGGGATGATGAATTATATGATGAAATGATTTCAGCATGTAAGAGATGATGATATATATGATGATATGATTTCAGCATGTAAGAGATGATGATATTATATATGATGATATGATTTCAGCATGTAAGAGATGATGATATACATGATGATATGATTTCAGCATGTAAGAGATGATGATATATATGATGATATGATTTCAGCATGTAAGAGATGATGATATATATGATGATATGATTTCAGCATGTAAGAGATGATGATGATATACATGATGATATGATTTCAGCATGTAAGAGATGATGATATACATGATGATATGATTTCAGCATTTAAGAGTTGATGATATATATGATGATATGATTTCAGCATGTAAGAGATGATGATATATATGATGATATGATTTCAGCATGTAAGAGATGATGATATATATGATGATATGATTTCAGCATGTAAGAGATGATGATATATATGATGATATGATTTCAGCATGTAAGAGATGATGATATATATGATGATATGATTTCAGCATGTAAGAGATGATGATATATATGATGATATGATTTCAGCATGTAAGAGATGATGATATATATGATGATATGATTTCAGCATGTAAGAGATGATGATATACATGATGATATGATTTCAGCATGTAAGAGATGATGATATATTTGATGATATGATTTCAGCATGTAAGAGATGATGATATATATGATGATATGATTTCAGCATGTAAGGGGATGATGATATATATGATGATATGATATCAGCATGTAAGAGATGATGATATATATGATGATATGATTTCAGCATGTAAGAGATGATGATATATATATGATGATATGATTTCAGCATGTAAGGGGATGATGATATATATGATGATATGATATCAGCATGTAAGAGATGATGATATATATGATGATATGATTTCAGCATGTAAGAGATGATGATATATATGATGATATGATTTCAGCATGTAAGAGTTGATGATATATATGATGATATGATTTCAGCATGTAAGAGATGATGATATATATGATGATATGATTTCAGCATGTAAGAGATGATGATGATATGATTTTAGCATGTAAGAGATGATGATATATATGATGATATGATTTCAGCATGTAAGAGATGATGATATACATGATGATATGATTTCAGCATGTAAGAGATGATGATATATATGATGATATGATTTCAGCATGTAAGAGATGATGATATATATGATGATATGATTTCAGCATGTAAGAGATGATGATATATATGATGATATGATTTCAGCATGTAAGAGATGATAATATATATGATGATATGATTTCAGCATGTAAGAGATGATGATATATATGATGATATGATTTCAGTATGTAAGAGATGATGATATATGATTTCAGTATGTAAGAGATGATGATATATGATTTCAGTATGTAAGAGATGATGATATATATGATGATATGATTTCAGCATGTAAGAGATAATGATGATATACATGATGATATAATTTCAGCATGTAAGAGATGATGATATACATGATGAGGATGAAGTCCGCCAGTTATTACAGTCAGCTAGTGATGATGACAATGAAATACTTACAGAGATTGGTTATGATGCTGACAGTGAGGAAACTAACAATGGTGATAATGAAAAAGGTAACAGGTTTTATTATACCCCCAATAACAGCGTATAGTTTTATGCACCTGGTGGTTCATCTGTCCGTTAGCACTTTGTGAAACGCAAAATAACTGTTATTAATCATACCCCTTTGGTATATATTGGCCCCACCTGGGAGTCACTTAGTTCATATAAATTTTGTAGTTTTGTATAGGAAAACACACTTAAAAAAACTACAATGCCTAGAGCATGCAGCATTGCCTTGTTGGCCTCTACAATTCTCGGGAATTAATCATGCCCCTTTGGTCAATATTGGCCATGCTCTTGGGGTCACTTAGTTGATATAGTCTTGTATGAGAAGACACATTTCAGTCTAAACTAGGAAACTACAATCCCCAGAGTTTATATATTTGTCATGTAGCATTGCCTTGTTATGCTCCTTTAGTCAATATTGGCTAACCCCGAGGGGTAACACATTTTATATAGACTTCAATAAGAAACTTATTTGAGTACTATAATGTGAAACTACAATGCTCAGGGCTTAGGTATTTGACATGTAGCATTTCCTTATGGACCTCCGCAAAACTGATACTAAGTTTTAACTCACCCTCTTGGGTCAGATCAGATAAAATGTATGACTGGGTATCTGGAGGTCTAATATAACATATGACAGGGTATCTCGGGGGGTCCCTCTTCAGATAAAGCTAGAAAATCACACTTGTTGATGTGAGAAGTAGATGTGTTTGTTATAACAGAACTGTAATACCTTAATACCTTCCTATCCGTCTTTTGTTAATCCTTGGTAGATTTTAAGAAACATGTTGTGAATCCTAAGTTGAATATAAAAAACAGTCATTAATGATCAGTATAAATCCATTAGTCTCAGACATAGTCTTAAGTTACAGGTAAAGTTTCTTATGTTTCAGACAAGAGAATACAATGTAGCTCACTTAAGTCCAGACTTCCACACAAGATCTACTTTCCTACAACATTTGGATTACTATTTGATTTACTAGTGTTGCTACGACAACAGGAATACAACCATTCTGTGGTTAGTGCTGTGTTGTATAAACTTCTACAAAATGTCAAAATGGATGTGAACCTGACTAAAGCCCTCTGTGAACAGGTTAGTTACTTACAATCTTGTATTTCTTTAAAATGTTTTTCTTTTCTTTTTGCAAACATGCATAAAAGTAGATCTGATTGGTGAATATTTACTTACTAGTACAGTCAAATAGGGCAAGACTGGCTAATTTCTTGAAAGAATATTTTTAAAGATAAGTTTAAAGGGTGAATGGGTTCTTAAAGTTTATACTTTTCTGCTTACTAGTATTCTTTTGTATTATATTTTCTTATAAATTTTGTGTCACAATTTTATTTTTTCTAAAATTATTGACCATAAAAGTCACTTAAATTCAAGGTTAAGTCTGTGGGTATAATTTCATCACACAAGTTAAAGAACAAAAGATAAAAGATTTCTCCATATATAGGAGTATCTATTTATGATATTACTCTCAGACAAGTTTTGGAATGATATTTATTATGTTTATTACTTTCTTTGACAATATAAAAGAAAAACAGACAAACATGAATGATTTATGAAGTATTGGGGAAAAAACTAGCATGTTAAAATTTGTTTATAAATCTGGTAATTTTAAGATATCTGAATTATGAATGAGACTGGATGTTTATTTAACAGAATGTTTCAAGTATTATTCTTGGAGATGAGGGATTCTGGGACAGCTTGCTGAAAGCTGATCTAGAGGAGACAGGTAAATAAAAAATAATAATTTATTGTCTTACAACCTTGTTACATATATTACAATAATAGTTTATTTGTAGAATGATTACTGTTATTGTATCTGATACCTTTTAACTTTGAGGGTTTGAATTCTAATCTACCTACACAACATAAAAATAATCACTGGTTCTACATATTCCAATACCTACAAAACATCAAAATAATCACTAATTCTATCTACACATTCCTATATGTACACAACATCAAAATAATCAATGATTCTACACATTCCAATACCTACACAACATCAAAATAATCACTTATTCTACACATTCCAATGCCTACACAACATCAAAATAATCACTGATTCTACATATTCCAATACCTACACAACATCAAAATAATCACTTATTCTACACATTTCAATATGTACACAACATCAAAATAATCACTGATTCTATACATTTCAATGCCTACACAACATCAAAATAATCACTAATTCTACACATTTCTATATGTTCACGACATCAAAATAATCACTGATTCTACATATTCCAATACCTACACAACATCAAAATAATCACTAATTCCACACATTCCTATATGTACACAACATCAAAATAATCACTGATTCTACACATTCCAATACCTACACAACATCAAAATAATCACTAATTCTACACATTCCTATATGTACACAACATCAAAATAATCACTAATTCTACACATTCCTATATGTACACAACATCAAAATAATCACTGATTCTACACATTCCAATACCTACACAACATCAAAATAATCACTAATTCTACACATTCCTATATGTACACAACATCAAAATAATCACTAATTCTACACATTCCAATGCCTACACAACATCAGAAGAGTCACTAATTCTACACATTCCTATATGTACACAACATCAAAATAATCACTGATTCTACACATTCCAATACCTACACAACATCAAAAGAATCGCTAATTCTACACATTCCTATATGTACACAACATCAAAATAATCACTAATTCTACACAATTTTATATGTACACAACATCAAAATAATCACTGATTCTACACATTCCAATACCTACACAACATCAAAATAATCACTAATTCTACACATTCCTATATGTACACAACATCAAAATAATCACTGATTCTACACATTTCTATATGTACACGACATCAAAATAATCACTGATTCTACACATTCCAATGCCTACACAACATCAAAAGAATCACTAATTATACACATTCCTATATGTACACAACATCAAAATAATCACTGATTCTACACATTCCAATGCCTACACAACATCAAAAGAATCACTAATTATACACATTCCTATATGTACACAACATCAAAATAATCTCTGATTCTACACATTTCAATACCTACACAACATCAAAATAATTAACTAATTCTACACATTCCTATATGTACACAACATACAAATAATCACTAATTCTACACATTTCTATATGTACACGACATCAAAATAATCACTGATTCTACATATTCCAATACCTACAAAACATCAAAATAATCACTAATTCTACACATTCCTATATGTACACAACATCAGAATAATCACTGATTCTACACATTCCAATGCCTACACAACATCAAAATAATCACTAATTCTACACATTTCTATATGTACATGACATCAAAATAATCACTGATTCTACACATTCCAATGCCTACACAACATCAAAAGAGTCACTAATTCTACACATTCCTATATGTACACAACATCAAAATAATCACTGATTCTACACATTCCAATACCTACACAACATCAAAATAATCACTAATTCTACACATTCCTATATGTACACAACATCAAAATAATCACTGATTCTACACTTTTCAATGCCTACACAACATCAAAATAATCACTATTCTACACATTCCAATGCCCACACAACATCAAAATAATCACTGATTCTACTTTTCAATACCTACATGTATCTGAATTATTGCACAAAGAGAGAGGGGCACCTATTGTATTTCTCATTCAGTAACCTTGGAAATTAATTTATAGTTAAATTACTTGTAATGTAATCTCTAACCCAACTAAATTATTACATTTAACCACAGAGATATGTATAATAAACTTAACCATGAGAAAATAATTAATGTATGAGATTTAGTGTGATAATGCATGCTTATAGCTGAATTAAATAAATATTTGCTGTAAAGGATAATTATATTCTATGTTTCTAGCTGGTAATATAACTCTATGTTTCTAGTTGGTAATATAACTCAAGAATTGTGTATGTTTATACCTTTTTGTTATTCTTTGATTTTAATTGGGTTCTATTTACAAGTTTCAGAAAACCTTCTCGGATTATTAGAACATGTAGGACAGTACAGATTAGAGTCACACGACCTGCAGAAAATTCTAATGATGTTCCAACATTCAGATATACCCATGGTAAGTAGTATATGTGTTTAATATTACCTAAATTTCTGTAATGGACTGTTTTACTTCAAATTTAGAAGTGTCCACTTTTAGAGTAAGGGATTTCATTATCAATTTACTAAAATTGAGCATTCATCAATATAGGTTTTGGTAAGACTATATCATTGTATACCTAACCTGGTTATACACCCACAAACGAAGTTTGGGGTGGGGGGTATATAGGAGTCAGCTTGTCGGTTGGTTGGTCCGTCCGTCCGTCCGTCAGTCCACATCATGGTTTCTGGACAATAACTAGAGTTTTGAATGAGGTATTGTAATCAGACTTGGTATATAGCAACCTTATGTGGAGACTCCAGTTGGTATTGCATTTGGACCCCCTGGGGTCAAGGTCACCATTACTAAAAATAGAAAAATGGTTTCCGGGCAATAACTAGAGTTAGGAATGAGATATTGTTATCAACCTTGGCGTATAGCAAGCTTATATGAAGACCTGGGTTGGTATTTTATTTAGGCCCCCTGGAGTCAAGGTCAAGGTCACCATTACTAAAAATAGAAAAAAGGTTTCCAGACAATAACTAGAGTTAGGAATGAGATATTGTTATCAAACTTGGTGTATAGCAAGTTTATATTAAGACCTGTGTTGGTATTGCATTTGGACCCCCTTGGATCTAGGTCAAGGTCACTGTTACTAAAAATAGAAAATTGTTTCTGGACAATAACTAGAGTTAGGAATGAGATATTGTTATCAAACTTGGTGTATAGCAAGCTTATATGAAGACCTGGGTTGGTATTGCATTTGGACCCCCTGGGGTCAAGGTCAAGGTCACTGTTACTAAAAATAGAAAAATGGTTTCCAGACAATAACTAGAGCTAGGAATGAGATATTGTAATCAAACTTTGTATATAGTAAGCTTATATGAAGACCCTGGCTGGTATTGCATTTGGACCCCCTGGGGTCAAGATCACCGTTATAAAAAATAGAAAATGGTTCTGGACAATAACAGGAGTTAGGAATGAGATATTGTAATCAAGTTTTGTGTATAGCAAGTTTATTTGGAGACCCAAGTTGGGATTACAATCAATTGAAATATTTCTTTGTACACAGTTGATAGTTTGTGTTCAAATGTTTCTTCAGACTACTTATTTTTCAAAAGGTCAAAGTTGCTGGTGGGGGTATTAATCACCTTCAATGATAGGTCTAGATTTATTTAGACTGCTAGCTTACATTTGTAATTAAAGCTGCAAGTGTTTAAACAGTTATTTCCTCTATTCTAATCTTTTATAATAACTGAGATGTCAGTTAACTCAAATAAATAGAACTGTCTTGCATTTAACCTTTACCCTACTGGAACCAAAAGTGATTAGCATTTTAGACCAGTATTGATTCAGCCATAACAACCGTGCAGTTGTGCAGTCTCACTTTGCTCTTATACTGTTGGCTGACCAATTTGAATTTTTCATCTTTATAACCCTAAACTTGATGATAGTTTCACAAATAGAAGCTGGACAAGCCAATTTAACAAAATTAGCAGGTGAAGGGTAAACTAACTGTTAACAAGACTTCAGAATTATTTAACAAATCTGTCATTCTTTACTAAGATTCTAAAGGAAATATATTTCCTTGAATTTTTTACAGAATAATTTCCAAAATTCCTTATGCAGGCATTCTTTTTGGGGGACATAGACTGCAATAATATTTTGGATTGGATTCAAAGCCTTTAATCATATATAATAATGTAATTGTGATAAATTTCAGGAGAAATTGTTAGATGTATTTCTGACAATTCTAGAGAAGTCTCCAGTAATCTCACATCACAGTATAAAGTTTCCAGTTTTACGATGTGAAAGGTCACAGAAATTGATGGAGGATGAGGAGATAGAAAGTGGGATGTTTGAGGCGCCACCTGGGGGCATAACTCCTCTCATAAAGACTATGTCAGATACTGTCACTAATCTATTCTTGTCCAATTTCCAGAAGGCAGATAAAACAGGTAAATAGATGTTTTCATAAAGCATTTTTAGCTTGTCAGTTTCAAAGAAAAAGTTGATTAATTATGGTCACTTTACTGGTGTAATTGTTGTATGCAAACACTTGAATGTAGCCCATTATTCAAGCATTTTAAAAGGTAACAGCACAAAACTTGGAATACTGTATTACGATGACAAGGTGCAGTTGTAAAACACGGGGCATTATTCTGAAAGCTAAATTTTGGAGTTTTGTCCCTTTTAACTTAATTTTTTTGTTAAAATTGCTTATTAACTTGAATAATTTCAAAACTATGAACGATAAATTGTGAACCTTGGAACACTTTATTGTCATGATAAGCCACAGTTGCATAATAAGAACCATTTTACTAAAAACAATACTTTAAGGAGTTATGTCCCTTCTAACTAAGATTTTATTATAAAAAAAATGGTTATTGATATTTGCTGCTCTTAAAAAGTGTTAACACAGACAAGTGCACACACTGTTTATGGTTCTGTTGTTACTTAGTTCAACCCATACCGTTATGTTACAAATTAATGTAGCAAGCATCCATTGCTGAATTACTTAGGTTGTTGACTTGAAATAGCTGACACCTCATCACTGTTTGTTTGAATATTTCAAATCCTTTCCTATAATTAAGCTATCCAGGTAGCTTACAAAGGTTGATAGTTGTTCTTGGCTGTCTGATTGTACCTGTAATAATTGGGGCAGCTGAGGTTTTCCTCAATTAATGCCATATGACCTTTATAGTGTAGGTGTGACATAGATTTTGCGAGATAATGCATTTTGAAATATTGATCGAATATGTTTTAATGTTGTTGTTTTTTTTTCTCTCAGATATATCAGATATGAATATTGAGCAGGAAGTGTGGACTACATGTGCTTTGTTGACTGGGTTAAAAGATACTGTATCCTGGCCTCCATTACAAGTTGGTGTCACTGTCTGTATGTGGGTGTGTCTACAGAAAGAACAGGGTCCAAGATTTATGCAAAAAGTACCAGTATATGACATTGAAACAGGTTAGAGATAGCTGTATTCATTCAATTTATTTCTTGTGTAAGGTTTATATGATAAGATTAAGTTGATTATGTTTCTATTGTAAGTAATGCTTACTTAATTGAAGCTTCGGCATTATGGTAATAGATGCCAGCAGTAGGATAATAATAACAGCTATTAGACACCAGTTCCTATATTTGACTGTTTAAGGATATGATGTTACAAACTGTGGCTTAATTAAAGGCAAACAACCTGGATGGAGTAGAAATTTTGTTAACACAGTATTCTAAAAAAAAGACACAGAAAAAAAGACACAGTACTTCATATAAATTCAGTGGTATTGCGTCATACCAACCAAATTACTGGTATCATGTTGTATTAACAAATTTACTGGAATTATTCCTTTGAACACATTTACTGATAATATGTTATATACACATATTTAATGGTATTTTGTCACATTGTCATATAAACATAATTACTGGTATCATATCATATAAACACATTTACTGGTATCATATCATAGAAACATAATTACTGGTAAAATGTCATATAAACACTTTTACTTGTCTTATGTCATATAAAGACATTTGCTGTTATTATGTCATATTATACATGTATATTTACTGTTATCATGTCATATAAACACATTTACTGGTATTATGTCATATAAAGATATTTTCTGGTATTTTGTCATATTATATATTTACTGATATCATGTCATATAAACATATTTTCTGGTATCATATCATATAAACATATTTACTGGTATCATGTAATATTAAAACATTTACTGGTACCATGTCATATAAAAACATTTACTGTTATCATGTCATATAAACGCATTTACTCGTATCATGTCATATAAACATATTTACTGGTATCATGTCATATAAACATATTTTCTGGTAGTATGTCAAATAAACATATTTACTGGTATCATATCATATAAACACATTTACTTGTATCATGTCATATAAACATGTTTACTGGTATCATGTCATATAAACACATTTACTGGTATCATGTCATACAAACTTATTTACTGGTATCATGTCATACAAACTTATTTACTGGTATCTTATCATATAAACACATTTATTGGTATCATGTCATATGAACAAAGTTTCTTTTATCATGTCAAATAAACATATTTACTGGTATCATGTCATATAAACAAATTTACTGATGTACAGGAGAGATGAAGGGTGGTCAAAGTGATCAGATTACAGCCAGCACAGTTGCAGGGTGTATACATGTTGTCTCCATAGGAACTAAGGAAAAACTACTGGAAATATGGGCTGACACACTCACTGGCTCTCTCAACTTGAGGTAAATACACCTATAATGTCAATTTCACTCATTTCTTTTAATTTCATTACTTACCTTTAATATGCATTTTGTTTGCATCTTAATTCAAGACGGCCGGTAAACAAAACAAACAAATCGATGAGCGAATATCACCTGTCATTTTGCATTTTGTATAATTTAACCTTAATTGCCTTTATCACAAGGTGTTAAAAACACGAGACGCTGGCTGTCACTAATTAGCGAGTCGATGCACAGCTTTTGATTTTTTTTGTGTTCGACCGAAAAGGTGTGATTTTCACTATATTTTTATTGGAGGAACCGAACGCCCTGTTCGAGAGTTCGAGGGATCAGAGGTAGAACAATATATGTCATATAGGGAATTTGCTGGGACTGGACGATGAGTTCTAGCGAAGGGAGGTGTTTGAGGGATCCGAGTTCGAGCTAACGAAGTTTAACTGTACCTATTGTTTTTTTAATGAGCTTTGATAAGCTGTACTGTGTCTGAAGGGGTATGTTGGCTTTCACAATGAATACTTGTCTGTATATATGCATGTAGCTGTGCTGCATCTGAAGTTTATATCAAATTATTGAATCATTGCAGACTAACAAGTGAAGTGAGTGATGCGGGACTTGTTGTGAAGGAATACAAGTTGAATGGAGTGATCTCCCCTGATAGATGGCAGCACCTTGTGGTCAGTTATAAGGAGGGATATGATGGTAGTACAGTGATGGGAAATGTATGTTTTCATACTATATTCATTATAACTCCTTTATTAATATTAAGTACACCTTCCTGCTTACTTAAATTGGAACCTATTTTCATTAAGAACAGGACTGTTTTCACGAATTTAAGAGAAATTTTTATCCAAATGACAGTTGATATTGGAATGTGTTGATAAAGTAATTCCATCAGATTTGTATAGCTACTGCTCATATAGTATATAATTGTGGTATTATTATATATTTTAATGTTTTCAGGTAAACATAGTTATAGATGGTTGGCAGAATCACAAGACTGTATTAGACCACGCCCATTCATCAATCAGGTCTCGACACAAGTCATCACAACTTCAACCTTACCTGTGTATTGGTCATACAGTCACTAGTATACACAAGTCTCAACTCGGTGCCTGCCACTTAGGTCATATATTGCTACTTAAAGGTGCAGTACATTCTTTCCATTGTCTTTTTCCCTATGTAACATATATACTGTCAGTGTCTTTCCATTGTCTATTTCCCTATGTCACATATATACTGTCAGTCAAAGCACGTCCCACAGTGGCCTAGTTTGTAAGAAGTCTGCCTCTCAACTCAGTAATTGTGGGTTTGAGCTCTTCAAGGGTCAAGATCATGTTTCTCATATGACACCCAGTACCGGTTAGTTCCAGGGAGCAAACTTGAAAGTGGTTTAGAAAAGCCACAATCAAACTAAGAATTAGACAAAAATTAGATAATTAAACTAAAAGAAACTGTAAATGGGCTGAAAACATTACAGTTAAAATATGTGTTTCTTTTACAGTAATATAGATGGTTAAAAAAAAATATTAGAATATATTTCTCAGTGCAGATCTGTGAGGAAAACTTGGAATGAAAAACAGTATAACATGGATTGTTATTGCTTGTTTCACTGATAGAGTTATTATTTAATAATTGATTTTATAATTGACAGGTGCTCCCTTGTCTAAAGAGTTGTGTTTCCACCTGTACACTATGGGACCTAACAACAGATCTATTTTGAAATGTGATTCCAGTTCAATATATAGTGTATATGCTCCACATCTCAACAAAAACACGGTGTTATATTCACGAATAGACTATGATACATTAGTGGGCATCAAGAGGGTTGACTTTACAGAACTTAGGGTATGTTTTCTCTATCAAATAAATTATATTGAAAAAATTTCTCCAACTTATAATTTAACAAGTTATTAGTCAATCTTTATTTTATTATAGAAACCAGTCATCAAAATTCAACATTTTTTTGTCTTTTGGAACTTATATCAAGAAAGAAATTTTACTTTTTTTGTAAATATGAGATTCTGAATATTTGGAAATTAAGATCTTTTATTTACAAAATCAGTCTTAGTGATATCTTTGATTTGAAATAAATGCAATGTTGACTTGATATTTTCAGAATAATTTGTTGCTGACCTACCAACCAAAAGAATGTAAACAAATGTTGGAATATCCACCAGTCTGTAAACTAGCTCCAAATCAAAGTTCAAGTAACCTTGCCTATGCCCCTGATGCTCAGTTAACACAACAACCAAAAGTGATGACCCCAGTGTTTCAAGGTCATCTCAGTTGTAACAGCAGTACAAGTCTTGAAATGGCCATTGAAGAATCAGGAGGAATTGCAGCTATATTATTCCTAGTTGCCAAGGTAACCAGATACTCTGTTATATTCTATATCTAAATTTAAGATAAAGTTCACGACATGAAATTGAATCTGAACATTGGCATAAGTAAAAATATAATAAATGTATATCATCATTTGTAAACAGTGAAATGATTGAAGTCTGGTAACAAGGTTGTATATACTTTTGCTGAGTTCTATCTTGAATCTTCAGACTTTCATTAGCCATTATAAATTATGTGCCAATTTCTGACCAATCAAATTCCTGAGATAAAGTTTGAACTGAAATAATTTCTTTAAAACGTCAGACTCAGTATAAGTAGACTTGAAATAGGTTCAAATAAACTTTTGAAGCTTTCAAGATAGATAATTTTAATTAAACTAGCTAAATATTTTATGAATGATGCATATATATTATTAGTTATAAAGATTATTAAAGGTTATATGGCCCTATATAAAAGTTTGTTTGAATATATAACCCAAGCCGCTAAATTCACCCCATATAACATGTCTGGGAATCTTTATGACGAATTTATAATACAGCAAACTTCTCTTTTTAGGGGAAAAAAGTGATTTCCTAATAAACTGACAGCAGCCATGTATATGAAGCTATATAAATGTCATGATTATCCAATGAAAAGCGATGTTACAAACATGCAGTATTATAAGAAATTTTATAAAGTTGTAAATAAACTTAAACTGATGTTGACACAGGTATATGAGCGTTGTCCGGAGAGTATGGATACAGTAGAGGCGGAGAAGATACAGTCGGAGGTATTAAAGGTGTTAATGTGTATCATGCATCATTCATCACAGTTACAACAAGAATATCTCAACATTGGAGGTCACGTCTTACTCTGTAAAGTCCTTACTAGCAGTAGAAGTGTGCCCGGACCTCTAACACTCAAGGTAATTTATTTCAATATTGTGAAGCAGACTTCTCGTTGTTTTTTGGTAAACTAAATTTACTACCAGTACCATTTTGTTTTAAATTACAAAAGAAAAGTTCAATGAAACATTACCATACAAAATGTATTCATTAGATAAAGAAAAATAAAGAAAGAAAAGATGACCTCCAATAAAACCTTATTTGTCAGACTGCATGGCTGTATACAGGTGGCAAAGGTTAATTATTTTACTTTCTAAAAGTTGAATTTTGCAAAACATTAAACTTGTATGATAAGTTATAGAATTCTATGTAATGTTACTAATGTATAAAGTTATGACATGAAGGTACTAATGTATAAAGTTATGACATTTAGGTACTAATGTATAAAGTTATGACATGTAGGTACTAATGTAAAAAGTTATGACATGTAGGTACTAATGTATAAAGTTATGACATTTAGGTACTAATGGATAAAGTTATGACATTTAGGTACTAATGTATAAAGTTATGACATTTAGGTACTAATGGATGCAGCTACAACAGAATCACTGTACAGATTTCCTCCTGGCTCCACTGACATGGTACTCAAACATAAAACAGACGCTGTTATACGTGATGTCACCATCATTGAACATCTGATACTTGATTGGTTGATCTGGGAACGATGTAACCAATCAGTGATGGAGATGTTGTTTGCTGGACTGGCATGTTTGGTACAGGAGGAACATCCACATCAGAATTATAATATTAAACAATACCAGGCCATAAATATTGTCAATAAAATTTTCAAAATTTATCAGGTAAGTTGTAATAAACTGACATTTTTTACCTTTTATTGAGGTAGTATAGCTAACCCTCAGTGTGCAGAGAACAATGTTTGCAAGCA